TATATATATATATTATGTAATTTACGTAAGGCTATTTACGTAATTAAGAAAATATTAAAAATTGTGGTGCACTTAATAACCTGATTTAAAATGAGGCCAACTTTGCTAGTTTGTCATTGTCGTTAAACTTGAAATGGCATTAATGCCATTGTTTGATCTTCGTTGTAATGAAATTTTTGAAGATAATGTATTTTGTAATAATAATTTTTGGAAGAATGTGTAGTTTAAAAAAAGGATATATTTTTAATTTATATATAATATTATTTTATTGAAAAATATGTGATTGAAAATAAGAAAAAAAATATTAAAATTTTAATGGGAGCCGAACAAGGGCTAAATGACACTAACAATGTATCCTGGTTTTTTAGGAAGTGAAGATAGAAAGGTCCTTTTGACAAAAATTCAACGTTTGAACTTTATTCAAGTGGTAGTTCGTTATCCAAAAGTCAAACATTTGATCAGAATAAAATGATAACTCTATATTTTTTTCACCTAAAGTAACTAAAATAAATAAATAAAAAGAAACAGAAAATGAATAAATTTGCATGTGTAGCAGACACTGAGAAAATCCATTAATGGAGAGGATGAAAAATATAGAACTCTACCACATGACCTTGAAGAACTGCAAATAATACTTCTTAGAAAATCTTCAACTGTGCCTTAAATCACACAAGCAAATTACATGCTCCTAATTTAGGCATTGAAGATATTCAGTAAAGAGAAATATTCAACATGTAATGAATGTGTATTTGAAAAAGTTGATAAAAATTGTTGATCACTTAAAATTTGTGTTTAAAATTAATTTTTAACTTTAACCTTATCAAACGAGCATGTACTAACCTTTGCAGTCTAATCATAACATATATAAATGTCATTGCCAGCTAAGCAAAAAATTTGCCGCTTAAGTTAAGTGCTTGTTTGGCTAAGCTTTTAAGTACTTATAAATAATGGATCCCTCTAGAAAGTGGCTATAAAATAGATAAAAATTGTATATTAAGAAATGTAAGATTAAAAATTATATTTGACAAACTCATAAGCTTGAAATATGTTTTGGTTAGTTGTGAAAAATGATGCAGGACATTACAGTGAATAAATAGTCAAATACAATCAATAAATGAGACTTGCTACATTTACGGCATTTTTACACATACAGTTTGACAGCCCTCTCACATGAGTGTGGGAGGGCTGTACATTCAGCCTTTTTCTCAATAAATTAGTGTTATTATGTGTTGCATGTTGATGATATTATGAAAGATTTTCTAATCTTATGACGGACTTACGGGTCAAGGGACAATCTCGAGTAGATAGTTTCTATAAAGCAATGTTGTAACTTTAAAAAAATTCAACACTACATTTGTTAACCTTTATCAAAATTTGTTGAAATCTTTTATCAATTTTTTTTGTCAAACAACCCCTTAGCAGGCTCATCATCATTGTCACCAGGTGGAGTGTAACCAAAAAGAATAGAGCAGCTGAGTGTTGTAATACTCAATTTGGGTGGAGCAGCTTGGTGATGTAATATCCATGGAGGAAGGCTCCCTTGGGGCCTGGAGTATAAATGGTGCACAGACCCTGGTCAACATGGGCATATCCCGCGGTTAACCTTCACCCATCACTGAGGGGTCGGGGATGGGTGGTCCAGGATATAGTCTAGTGTAAGTTAGGATACCTGGATATCAAAAAANTTGTCAAATCTTTCAAGTTTTTAATGCTTTGACAGTGAATGGTCCCTATGTACCAAAAAGGATTTGGCTCTGAACATTTTTCCCATTTCTTGTTTAAAATAAAGAATTTTGGTTCGAATGACACCAGTTTATCAACTAAAATGACGATACATGTTCTTGACATGTTTGGTTAGGTTTAAGCTACTTATTTTTTCATATATTTTATTAAGTAATTTACTTATTTTTAACTTCAGCTGCAAACTTGGATATAACAGTGTCACGCCCACTCCTACACATAACCGCCCCCACCCCAAAACCACCGCTACCAGACGGTTTCACCGCACCCACCCAACGTTGGCCTCCACCTCCTCTTCATCTTTTTTCACATTTCTAATTTCATCCCTACACAACCCATTTCTAGGTGTATAATTTCTCATAGAATCTCGAGTTTTCCTAGCCACTTTGTTATCTTCTTGATCTCCCGAGCCCCCGTTTGACACACATTTTTAACAAAAAAGAAATTCTGGAATAGTGATTGATGGAAGAATGTGTGGTTGAAAAGTAATGAGAATTTTTGGATTTATGTGTAGTATTATTTTATTGATGGAATGTGTGATTGAAATGAAGAAAAAAAAAATGAGAATGAGAAAAAAATGGATTTCAAACGAGGGCTTATTTGGTGAATGTGTGATGGAGAATCTTACTATAGCAAGCAACTTTTTGAAATAATGATAGAGAAACGGGGGCTAAAAAGTCCCAATAAATCCCACAAGTGAAAAATCATTTTTCCACTATTTTTGGTCAAGAAACCATTTAGCCCCATTTTGTTGTATAATGTATTTAAAATGGGTTGTGCTATGTGTACACAATGCATTATTCATCTTGAAATAATTGATTGATAGAAAATGTGTGGTTAAAAATGAAGGAAAAGTTTTTGGGTTGTGTATAATATTATTTTATCGAAAAATATTAAAAAAAAAAAAAGAAAAATGTATTTTGAAAAATAGTGATCAAACAAGGTGCAAATATATATTGCACTCTTACCCTTGATCCACAAATTTATTTGTCTATCTCGTTTGTTTCATGTATTTATCCTCAACTTCAAATAATCACACCATTGGAGGATTAAGCCATGTTTGAAAATTATTATTTCCATATACTCATTTTTCAAACACACATTCATATAATAAAACATTATGCACGTAATATAAAATATTTTCCTAATTTTTAACTACATGTTCTCCTAAAAAAATCACTATTTAAAATATTATTTTTCTTAAATAATAATTTTCAAACCGGGACTAACTACATACAAATAATGAAATCAATAAAACTGGTTGTACAGTGTCACATGGACTCTGTACTGTTAGGGGCACTAGCAACAATTAATCTAGTTATACAAACTTCGCAAAAATAAAGTTCGTTGACAAAATAAGCATTGACAAAATTTAAGTGATCGATTTCAAAAACCGCTTTGAAAATTATTAATCTAGATGTTATCAACACATAATTTGTAAACCAAAATCATCAACCTTTTTTATACAGCATGATTCCACTAGCATAATGAAATATTACACAATTTGTCCCACCTTCTTTGTCATATTTTGTGTGGCAACTTTACGACTAAAAGATATCATAAATGAATTGACACCCAACAAAAAGGTAAAATCAAATGGGTTAAATACAGATTCGGTCTCTATAATTGCAGCAAAGTTCCAAGTTAATTCTTAAAGTTTCATTTATGCCAATAATTTTCATCACATCAATGATTTTTCCTTGTTTTTCAATTACATATTCACCATCACATCACAAAAAAAATGCATTCTTTTCATTTTAATGTGAATCAAACACACTCCAAGAAAATGATCGATGATGCAATTAAATCAATTGTACTTTCAATTGATTATACTCTTTAATCAAATATGATTTACATTTGAAGTCGAATAAAACGGGTTTACAGGTTTCATTTGTCATCTTATTTTTAGCAATAAGTTTTACATGACAATGAAATGAACATCCCGGTAGTATATTATGGTCAGGGCCAAGGCAATTTAGGCCATTGTCTTGAACCTCAATTTCTAAGGGGCCTCAAAAAATTAAAAGTCCAAAAATTTAACAAAAAAATTCATTTCTTTTTTGAGTTGAGTCGTTTATTTCATTTAAAAGACGCGA